AACTTCTTACTCCAAAATATGTACTGTGTATACCTAAAATAAATTCCTGATTGAAATTAACAAAATAAAAACGTTTATTGCATAGAAGCGTGGCAGCTCTGATGGAAAATATTTTTTGCCCAAAGTTCTCAACAATTGATTATCCATATTGCGATGTTTTCGATAAATTGTGTAGAATCGAAAATAAGTGGCAAACTTACACTAGTATCCTAAGAATACCATTTTGTATATAGGGAAAGCATTGCTTAAGAACCTTCTCTTTGTACCACCATGAATAGTATTATTTTACCTTTTATCTAAACGAAAATTAAAATTAAATAAACATGCGCTTCAAAATAGCTTATCAAAAATATTTTTGAATTAGAGATCTTTAAAATACCCTCCAATGGATGCCCATATTATGATATTTTAATTAATTTTTAACTAATTTCGAATAGGTGGCAACCTTATACAAAAGAAATTAATACCTACCATTATGGCTGAGGGGTTAGAGGAGCGTACAATAACATGTCATAATCAAATAGGTACTTACTTAGTAGGCAAAAGTCGAAAAATCATCGAGCGAGAGCCAATTCTGATCGACTTGAGGGGACTGAACTCCATTCAAAAAAGTCGAGTTTTTCAGCGAGAAGTAGATTTTTGACTAAACTGTGACAGTCGACTTTTCCATCCCTATCCTAGCGTTAATTACACTTGATCTCAAATTTTAGTTTAGTTTTTGTTCTCCAGACGCCACTATCCAATTTGTATGTAGAATTGCACGGTGATTACGAAAATAGAGTTAATTTTTTTTCTATGGATACGTTTTCGAGATATTTGCAATTTACCGTTATTCAGCATAAAAGAAAATAAAAAATGGTACACATGATAGAAATGAAACTTCTTAAAAAAGGTGTGAGTACCAGGTACCTACTCACGAAATTGGATGTCTAAACATATGTTAACGGTTCGGCAAACCATTAGGCGATCGAGTTACATATATAAGTTTGGTTAGAAATCAAACAATAATTTCATTTCATCTTATTAATTTTCTGATATACATATACATATACATATACATATTTATTTATTCATTTTCCGGTAACATCACCTTATATGAATTCGCACTTCTAGCATCCATAGGACCGGGTTGTAATGGAAGTAATTGTATGTTTAACAAATAAATGAAAATGTTTATAATGCATTCAATAGATCCTTACGAATTCGCCATTACCAAGGTACTAAGTAACGTAGGCACTTTTGTTTGCAAAATGCATTTATTTAAGTTAAAAGAAGACAAATTCCTTTGTTCGGCATTTATTCTTACTTGCTTTCTACCTTCCAAGGCGAATTCATATATTCTTATCACGAATTCATATATTCATGTGGTAGCAAGAGTATAAAAACATAAAATTACCTTATCAATTATAAGCACAAGTATCACATGTCTGCGTAGTCCAATTCACGAAATCATTTCATCGA